GTTAGGAAGATCTGCCCTAATGAGACGCCCAGGCAGTGTCAGCCCAGAGGGCAGTGCCAGGGTGCATACCCAGTGCAGGCAATAAGGGGGCGCTCTCTGCACAGGATTTAAAAACAATAAACAAAACTATAAAACTCAATTGTCACCGTGCACCAGCAATTCTAAACAATGTCAGAGATGAAATACTCTTCCTTGAAAAAAAAATCTATATTGCTCTAAAAAAAAAAAGATTGCTGTTGAGTAAACTTCAAATCAGCACATTTTAAAATTACTTATCCTTGAACAAACATTGTATTCTGCCTGGAAGTTAATTCGGAGGACTCTCAGTTGGATCGCCAGCCCCTAACACATGCGCACTTGGCTGCACTGTTTGCTGTCAGGTAAGTTTTTAGGGTTCAGAGTTGTTGGAGCTTACGCTGGCCACAGTGATGTCTCCAGTCCCTGAGACACCACATCTCCTTGCCGTGTAAGCAGCTTAGAATTCAGCAGTAAAAGATAAAGAAGCAGAACTTCTGTTATTCTAGGTGACCACTTGGAGTTTTTATTAGCTTCTAAAAGAATATGTTTTTATTGATTTTAGAGAGGAAAGGAGAGGGAGAGAGAACCATCAATCGGCTGCCTCCTGCACGCCCCCTCCTGGGGATGTGGGGGTTGAGCCAGCAACCTGGGCATTGTGCCCTGACCAGGAACTGAACAGGGGACATTGCGATGCATGGGATGACGCTCAACCTACTGAACCACGGAGGCCAGGGCTTATTAGCATTTAAAATGTAAAACAATGCAACAGTGTGAGAACTATGAAGTGTAATATATATGTTTGGTAGGTACAACTTTTAGTTTCTACATGAAATGTGTATATGTATATGAATATAAGTATATGAATACATATCAGTGCCAGGAACACTTTGTGCCTCCCCTATCCCAGCGCTCCCAGCACTGTACGGTGATTGCAGGTTCCCCTGTCCCTCTGGCCACTTGTGGGAGTCCCAGTGCCTGTAGGTCATACACCTATACTCGCCGAGTTGACTTGAAGGGCTTATATGCAGAGCTCAGTAGTGTTCCCATTGGGTTCCCTTTAAAATATCTGCTAGAAAGATAGTTACAGCTAATGGCCTTTGGAAGCCCGGCCCCTCTCTTTGAAAAGTGGGAGTTGGAAGCTTAGAAAGACAAGGATGGCCCCCCGTCTTTGAAAGGCCAGTGTGGTCCCTTTTCATGGCGCCCCCGGAATTCAGTCACGTTTTCTCCCTCTGTTTCCAGCCTCGTTAACTTTGTGTGCCACACCTGCTTCAAGAGGCAGGAGAAGCTCCATCACTGTGGGCAGTGCAAGTTTGCGCGTTACTGTGACCGCACCTGCCAGAAGGATGCGTGGGTAAACCACAAGAAGGAGTGCTTGGCCGTCAAGAGATACGGGAAGGTACCCAATGAGAACATCAGGTCAGAGCTGGGCCCTGCGGAAATGTTTGGGATTTCCGGATGTCAGGGGGCAGGGTGGTGGCAGTGACAGCATTCCCAGACCCAAGGAAGTCGGGCTGAGTGCAAAAGCAGGACAGCGCCCCCAAGAGACCGGATATGGACACGTCTATGAACTCCCTTTAGGTCTGGGAGCCCGTCTAAGAGGGAGGACAGGTTAATGGCACCAAAATACAGACCCTGGCTGGAGCTGCCTGCAGACGCATTCTGTATGGCTCCCTCATATTTAATTTAAAAATATTAATCTGCCAATGTTCAAAAATTGGAAATTTCACATTTAAAAAAATTAGTTTTTTTGGCCTGTCTTGAAAAAAAAATCTGAAGATTTGGCAAAATGAGGTAGAGCTCGATACATCTACCCCCTTTACAAAACACTGACACTGGGCTGAAGTCTGTCACCCATTAGTCTCTAATCTCTGAGCTTTGTGACATTCTTCCTAATATTTGGAGGTAGCAGACACCCCAGACCAAATCTTATTTCCCCGAGTTCTATCCTGCGCTCCATGTGGGGACATCTGGGTTCTCAGGTGCCTGGGGTCCCCGGCAGGGCATCTCTGTGGAAATAACCCCATGACCCAAATGAGAGGAAAAAAGGGCCATACTTTTCCAAGGGGGTTCCTCTTCAGGGGGTTTCTGTCCTAGGCCACCAGTCCTTCCCTGCTGCCTGGCCAGTGAATGGCAGAGTTGCCAAAGTGTCCCTTGGGTAAAGGCTTCATCTTGTGGGTATGGGCTGCTTACTCATTAACAGGGGTCCTCTCTGCCCTCAGGGTTAAGTACACCCCTCTGTCTCACCCTCAAAGCCCTGAGCTCTCCTGAGCCCTCTGCTCCAGCCAGGCCACATCCCTTCCTGCTTCCTGCTGATGCCATGCTCTTGGCTGCATCCAGGCCTTTGCTTATACTGTCTCTCCACCTAGATTGTCTTCTTCACCTTCTCTTTATCCAATCATTAAGAATATAAATAAGTTTACACACAAAGATCTCCCAAATGCCTCTGGAGGTTAGCATGACAGGGAATATATGTTATCCTCATTTTACTGGTCATTAGAGAGGTTCAGGGAGGTGAAATGACTTGCCAAGGGTCACACAGGAAGAAGCAGAAACAGACTTGAACCCAGGTCATTAGGCTCCTTTGCCAGTGCTCATCTCAGTAGCCATACTACCAGGAGAGACCCAGGCTGCCATACCTCATGGTGTCCCCAGACCCCATGCAGGCTCTGCTAGACCCACATAACCTGGCTTCTGCCCACCTCTCCACCTTTATTTGTTTTCCACTCCTCACGCCCTGTGCTGCAGCCTCCTTGGTCTTCTTGCTGTTTCTTCTTCATGCCAAGCTCATTCCTCCTTCAGAGCCTTTGTACTCACTGCTCTTTCCCCATCGCACACAGAGCTGGCTCCTTCTGTTCAGCTCGAGTGTGCCTCACCCCTGCCACCTCCCCGGGTCCCCTTGTCTTCTCCTCCACCCCCTCCCACTTTCTATCATGTTACCTGATTCTATTTTCTGCACAGCATTTAACACTAGTTTAATGATCTTTTAAACTTCTGTCTCCCCCACTATAAGAAACTTCATGATAGAAGAAATTCTGTCTAGTTCAAAACTGTCTTGGGCCTGGCACTGTACCTGGCATGCATTAGACACTCAGTACATGCTTGTTGAATGAATGGAAGCAGTGGGTCTCCCTAACCCGGCCCTTCTCCACAGGCTGGCTGCACGCATCATGTGGCGGGTAGAGAGAGAGGGCACCGGGCTCACAGAGGGCTGCCTGGTGTCCGTGGACGACCTGCAGAACCACGTGGAGAACTTTGGGGAGGAGGAGCAGAAGCAGCTGCGGGTGGACGTGGATACTTTCTTGCAGTACTGGCTGCCCCAGAGCCAGCAGTTCAGCATGCAGTACATCTCCCACATCTTCGGCGTGGTACGGTTTCTCATGAAGTGGGGGTGGGGGTGGGTGACAGCTGGGATTGTCCACCAAGTAAGTTTTCAGATGCTGCCAGGCCAGAGTGGGGAGGAAGGGCCAAGAGAAGAACTGGAGGGAGACAGAGCCCTCGAATGAACAATTGTCACCCTGTCCTCTGTCCTTCTGGTCTTGCTTACTGTGAGGTCATTCCTGCCCCATCTGACGTTGGCATCCCAACAAGACTTTCCATTATCTCTGGATGGTAGATTTGGATGTTATTTTACTGCCTTATTTATCTGCATGTCTTGTTTTCTCTGCTTTCCACTTTGAAAACAAAGACCCAATTACCATCCCTTCTTGCCTATTAGTCACCTTGAAAATAAGGCCCTTCTTCTTCGGAGGTCTGAGGGGAAGGATAATGGGAGTAGTGGGTGTGGAAGCCAGAGAGAGGAGAGGAAGGGCCCCTCTCTCCCAGCCCTGAGAGTCCAGGAGGTGAGGGTGGGAGTCCGGAGGGTCACCAGGCCTTGGGCTGTGGGGATAGATGTCTTCTTTCTGGCAGGTCCAGCACCTTCTGTGGGGTTGGTGAACAGGCCAAAGAGGGAGGTTATTGTCATAATAACAACAGCAGGATCAGAACCAACATCTCTAGTCGTTACCATGTGCCAGTGCCTCTGCAATGTCAGAGTTCCTCAGAGAAACAGTCATCTATCATCTATCTATCTATCTATCTATCTATCTATCTATCTATCTACCATCTATCTATCTTTCATCTATCTACCTATTGACAGAGATGATTTATTTTAATGAATTAGCCCTTGAGATTGTAGAGTGTAAATTCAAAATCTGTCGACAAGTCTGCAGGCAGGACAGCCCAAAAAAGAGTTGTGGTTTGAGTCCAAAGGCCGACTACTGGCAGAATTCCTTCCTGCTCAGGGGAAGTCAGTCTTTGTTCTATTAAGTTTGTTAACTGATCACATGAGGCCACCTACGTTGTGCAGGATAATTTGCTTTATTCCAAATCTACTGATTTAAATGCTAATCTATCCAAAAAACACCTTCACAGAAACACAGAATAATGTTTGACCAAATATGTGGGCACCGCAGCCCAGCCAAGGTGACATATAAAATTAACTATCATAGCTTCCCATGTATTATTTTATGCAAGTTTTACAACCCAAGGTGAAATTCATGCTTTCAACATTCCTATTTTATGAACAGAAAGCCTAGGCCCAGAGAGATTTACATGACTTCCACAGGCCACACAGTGAGCTGGTGTCCGTGGAAGGGCTAGAAGCAGCCTGCCTGGTGCTGGAGTTGCTACTCTTAGCACTTGGGCTCCAAGGCTTGGGTGTCATAGACCATCCTTGGTAACCCCAAGGGCCTGGGGACTGCAGCCACAGGATGGCATAATTACCAAAGTGCAGAGCTAAAAGGACCGTAGAGATCATCTGGTCCAACTCTCTCAGCCTACAGATGGGAAAATGGGGCTCAGAGACTAAGGTAACACAGCTTGTTAGTCCTGACAGGCTTAACTTCATGTATTTGCTGAATGACTGATGAGATTGAATGGAGAAAGTGACAGTCCTCCAATTCTATAGCAAATAGCCATGTGCCGTACATATCGATATACACATGTAAATGTATATTTTATTATGCATAGTATGTATTTCTGTTATTATTTAAATATAAAGCAGAAATATCTGCAGTTGTCAATGTAGTTTAGGTTATATTTTTTCTTATGCATTTTCATGCCCTGCTAGCAGATATTTGGAATCTGTTTCTATAAAGAACCACTTATTTTTAAGGGAAAGGAAATAAATCGAGTGTCATATAAGTAATAACCAACTTGATTTGTCTTGGATTTATAAATAAATGTTGCACCCATCAGAATTTAAAATTGTGAACAGGGAGTATAAAATATCCAGCAGACACAATAAAACAGAAATGTCAATTTTCTCTTATGAACAGCTATAGGAGTTGAGGGTGGGTAGACAAAGAAAGCAGAGGACACACACACACACACACACACACACACACACACACACACCCCGGAAGGCAGAGTAGTGCATGGAGAGGGAAACCAAATAGATACTGGGGAAGACTCATGTGAGACCCAGGTACAGGAAAAGGAGAGACTTTCTGAATCAACATTTCTATCTTTGGCCTTTTTATTTTTTATCATTTTTTTAAATTGATTTCAGAGGGGAAGGGAGAGGGACAGAGAGATAGAAACATCAATGATAAGAGAGAACCATTGATAGGCTGCCTCCTGCCCACAACCTGGGCATGTGCCCTGATCAGGAATTGAACTGTGACCTCCTGGTTCATAGGTCA